TGTGTGTGTGTGTGTGTGTGTGTGTGTGTGTGTGTGTGTGTGTGTGCGTGCATGCGTGCGTGCGTGTGTGTGTGTACACACTGGTGGTCTCTGGTTGGGTGGGGACAGAGGGGGGCACTCACAGCAACATGTTGAATTCAAATTCAAATTGGCTTATTCTCAGGCCTGGTTGAAACAATAATATCAGACTTGGGAGGTGTGGTTTGTTTTGTTTTTAAACCCTGAAGCAGCTGCAATGAACTAGATTGTAAATGTGCTGTGGAAACATTTAGATGCATTTGTTCTGCGCTGATAATTAAACTTCCCATCTTAACATTTGAATTGGATTTGCGTATTCCAGGACAGGAATACAGTAGCCAAAGGTTGTGGCTGCTTTGGATTCAAAAAACCTGAACATTTGCATTGTTTATTATTTTGTAAGAGACGCGGTATCTCCTCTAAAAGTGGATGTTTCATGATGGAGCCGAGGTTTTCAAATGCTCCAGCCTGCAGAAATATTCATTTCTTGAGGGCAATGGAAGCCAACTCCTTCCATCTGCTTATCCACTCAGTTACCGTAAAACAGCAGCTCTTAAAATTCCTACGTTTAGTGGACATTTATTGAATATCTGTGATGAGGGAATCCAAACTTTTTCATGTAACAAGGACCTATGAAAGCTGTTCTCTGCAGACCTGTAGACACCCGTTTGAAAGTGCTGTCCGTCACATTAGAGGATAAGCGTGGGGGAAAGGACTAATCAGATTATAGGGTCTGCTATTGATTGTATGACCAGGGAAATGAAATCAATCTGCAGTTTGTCTGGACCCCTTGACAGCACTTAAAGCACCTTGAGGAGCCAAGTGAGCCTCTGTGTGGGAGCTCCTGGCTTGATGGGTTTGCCTTGTGCTGTAATTTCCCAACATGCCCTAGTTTGCAGTTTCTTGGAAATTGACAGGAACCTAAAAAGATAAGAAGACTTCTCCAAAGCATAACCGATTCCTCAAGTGGCTCCCGGTCCCCTCAGTAACCACCTCCGACAGAGAGCTTGACTCTTGTATACCTCATAGTTATGAGGGGAAAACCCGGGGCCACTTGTTTTCCATTGAATTGTACTTAATAATAGAATTTGGGCTACTTGCACAGTGTGTTTGCCAGTGACTATGGAGGCGGGGCAGTTAATGTCCAAAAACTCCTCCACCGAAAATAAACCTGCATGAAGGGAAGAGAGAGAAGGAGAGAGTGAAGGAGGGGAGGGAGGAGGAGGAAGGGAGCCTTTCACCAGGGACAGAAGGGAAAGAGTCTCCGTTTCAATGGAATATAAACTGCGCAATTTCTTTAAGGACAGCCCGCTCTGATCGCGGCGGATCGGTCCCTCTCTAGGAAACGGATATCAGTATGGTTTTTTTTTTTGAGGGGGGGGGGGGGATGATTAGGGAATCCGTGCCCATCGCTTCCCTGCGCTGCCTTGGAGGTTACAGGAGCTGGCGATTTTTTACCAGATCGGTCTTCAGAGGAGGAAACGAGCTGTGCAATCATTCAGAAAGGTTATATGACTGTGCAGAGATGCAAGATCAGTGATGAGTCCATCCGTCATGTCTTGGGCGAACGCATCAACATTTTCTTCAGCCCGGGCTGTGATCTATCTGCGTGCACGGGAGCTCCCCGTGTCGACATTTGCACCTAAACGGGTTATGGATGTTGAATGGGTTGAATTTTTTTTTGGGAGAGGGTTTTTAGCGGGCTGCGTCATCCCTGGCTGGGGGGGAAAAAGATGGTCTGCTTTGCAGATTTTCCACTATTACACTGTTTTAACCGCGAGGGTCAACCCGGTAACGTTACGGCACATTCTGGATTGCACAAAGAAGGTAAGCATAATAACGCATATGACTCTTATCGGGCACGCACGCTGGCATGTGAGGCTGTACATGCGCTGTTACCTAATTGCAACTGGGGAACCAATGAGACTCCATTGAAAACAACCTGAACTATCCTCACCCTGTGATAAATCCTAAAGGACGCGACCAACGTCACTGCTCAAATACAATCCGCTACAAGACAATCTGTATCACTGTAGAGACTATTATTATTATTATAAGTCTGTTAAACTCGAGATGTTGCAGAGCACCATGCATGTATGGAAACAGGAGGTTAGCGTCATTTAAAATGTGGTGATTTGATGGTGTTACATAATCGCGAAATACAATGTAATGAGTACACTGTTAACTTTGCACACAATAGCGCCGATAAGTTTCAATACTGCAGCAGTTATTGCTGCGTGGCTGACAGCTGTTTTGCCTCAAATCATATTAAAACGTATGTTGGTGATGTCACGTTTTTTACAGTAAGGAAGGAGTAGTTTTCGGGGAAGGTGGGTCAGGAGTTGGCGGTCTCGCAATCGCCTCGGGTAGATCTCGGTTAATGTGTTTTTGAAAATGCAACAAAAGGCGACGGATCGTGTCCGTGGGTGTGATGTGCTACGTGTGGCTGCGATATTTCGCTGCTGATGGGGGCAGAATATAGCGGCGGATTGAATGAAATACGGGCTCGCTGCTGTTGGAGGAATGGAGTGTCGCATTTTCTTTCCGAAATGTCATGTGGTGGAGTTGTGGCGGGTTCTCTACTATTTCCAGGAAGAGCGTTTGAATTTTCTTCCCTGGAATTTTCTTTTCTTTTTTTTCTTCTGTCGTCTCCACCCCTCTCTCTGCTGTTCCTGTAGCACTTCGGGCATGTGGCCACTGGATGGCGACCCAGGACAGTGAATTGGTTAGACCACTTCTAGACCTGTATGGGAGCAGTTTTGCCAAATAAAAACGAGGGAGTAAGAAGGCAGCTAATTGAAAACTCAGCAAGATAAAAGTAGGCCTACATGTTGATGTAGCCTAATAGATATTCTGGTAAAATAACTCAACAAGGGTTATCAAAACGATTCAGCATGTTAACAAATTAACTAACAAATGTAAAACAATATGAGCACGTCTTTTTATTAGTATTCATTTATTTAAATTAAATAACTCTTAGTACTAGACAGCCTGATACACGCGCCACACCAGTTGGTGGCGGTAATGCACCAATTCGTTGTTTGCCAACCGGAAATTAACTATAAAGCCAAAGAAGAAGAAGTTTCGCTTAAATGCAGGCCTTCAGTAGAGGGGCTGTTTGCTAGTGGAGGAGCTTGAACTGTAAATACGAGGCCTTTCTATGTCACACTGTCAGAGCTTTTAGATATTTGAATACTAGCCAGTAATGACATCAGCTACACTTCACGAGGTGATAGTGATGAGTGCTGATCCTCTTTATGATGACCTATCAATGGGGCAGTCTGCTCATTTCCGGGTCACCTACACTAACATGTGGTCCTGGAGCAGGTAGAGATGTGTTTTTTGTGAATTTAAACTCACGCAGAATGCAAGTGCATTTCGCATGATTTAAATTCATGTTAAATAGGGTTTTGAGTAGGTTATGCACTGTGTTCACATTAAAAAGTGATTTTTTTGGTGTGCTGTTGATGTCCCACAATGCAATGCAACGCACAGCTGCAAATAATTCAGACTAATTGTGGACACCTCCGGGAAGACGAAACAAAACAAATAGCTGAATTAAAAATATTTAGCTTTAATGTACCGTAGGTTCTAATGTAACAGCAAACATTTTACTGTCGACTACAAAGCAATGGCGCCGCCCAGGTACGTGTAGTTCTGGTCTAATATGCGCTAGCTAGCTAAGCGGTTGAATTTACTTTTGGGCATATTTGAAGATATGCTGCCCACATGTTTCCAGTCCGAGCTAATGCTGCACAGTTACACTCGTATTATACGCATTGATGCGATTAACTCACGTGGTCTGTGTTCCAGAACTGTATCAATATTAACGTTACATATTTGCAAAGCAGTTCCCCATGAGTTAATATCCACAGTGATTGTAGCGTTTTCCGACACATTGTTTGCCGCCACACTATGAAATGTAGCCAACACAGTAACAGTATAGTGAACATCCCATTACCTCTTGTCCTATGAGGAAAACCCCACTTTAGTGTTTGTCCACATAAAAATAGAGCCCATAAGCAACACACCTGTTTACCAAACAGTACCCATTGATCAATTGGCTGGTTTGCTGGCATCCTGAAAGCCATTATCTGGTTTGTGTATTAGCAATACAGTCACACAATGGTGTGCATGAATACATTTCATTTGTATGGCCTTTTAAACATTTAAACATTGCACGGGCAATTCGTTTATTCCCAAGTACATGCCCAGTTGCTTCCTCAATCATGATGGCAGTAATTACATGCCAACACTGAAGCAGTGTATCGAGTACTTCTCTGATTTCCCACCACTGCATGTATGCATCAGTGTACGCATCTCCATGAACTGTACAAACTGCAAGAGCGCGAATTCGCCCCCAGATGGCGATATTTTTGCAGTCTAACCCCAATCTGAGTGTGACCTTGGTGAACAGCTGCTGATTTCTCACAGGATGATGAAAGCAGACGAGAGAGCGATAAATATATATATATATATATATATATATATATATACACACAGTATATACACCGTCTGCTCTGAGTACTTTTCCATATTGATGAGTGTTGTCAGTTGTTTATTCTCAACTTGATCACTGTATTTAATTTGTATCCCTGTTCCAAAAGTTTGATATATACAGTATATATGTATTACTTTCTTATTCCCAGAGGAGTGAGGACCATGGCTAAGCATTGCTGTGCTTCGTTTGAAGGACCCCCAGCCCCTGACTGAAGCCATGAGTGAGATGTCTCACCTACTGTAGTCAAGAATGGGCAAATGTCAAATTGCCGATACTGCCCGTCAAGATGGACTGCACAGTGTGGGAATGATGCCATTCCTTAGTGATGGTACGATGGAATTTTACTTTTATTTTAGCATTTTACTCAGAAATATAATTGATGTTTTTAATGAAATGGCAATATATTCTATTACTCAGTCAACATAACAATTCAATGACATTTAAAGGTATTTCCCCACAGCTGACTTGCAGCTGAGCTGATAGCTGATAGAAAATAACAGCAGACTAGTTGGACTGATCCGTATCAGACCCATTGTTTACATACTGTGCTTTTCTCTAGGGGAGCCACCTGCATTTCGCTTCAAGCACCCACCTGTCCAGGTAAGACTTTTGACCTTTTACCCAGACTCTGACCTGCCTGCAGTGACACTAGGGATGTGCGTGACTTATTCCTGTTGGGATGTACGTCATTCCTGTTATGCCTGTCCAGTAGGATATGTTTGCCTGAGGTTCTTACAGAACAATAAAATGTTTGACTACCTGAAATGTATTAATGTATCCAGCAAATGGGTGCAATATGTTCATGTATAATCTCTGATACTGTGTAGTTCAATCTCCGGTTTAGAAGCGTTGAGTCCTAAGGTGTGTTTTATTCATTGAGACTAATGATTTCACACTAAAATCTTTCTTCTATTTTCTATTGGTGCTGGCCTGCCCAAACATTATGTGCCATGAACCAGTTTGATTTGTTGTATTTTTCCTATTTGTGATGTGATGGGTGTCCAGCTACCACTCTGCTTTTGTGCAACCTGTTGTTTGAGTATCATCCCCTCCTATAAAGGCCCTGCAGTGTTGGATTCAATCCATGACTATTGAAGCTTTAGATGTTGAAAGTGTAGCTCAGTTCTTTGTCTGTTTCCATAGAGGAGTTGCCATTTTAAACACTGCTACTAAATTGATTGGGACTGGGGCCAGAGACAAGCACACACACGCACACGCACACACACGCACTTCAGTTGTACCCATTCAACACCCTTATTTAGGCGTATACACTCCTAACCTAACACCAGCTCTGTTTCATTTTCACACACACAGTCCTTAAACACTCTCTGACACACATCTCAAACACCCCCACACCTTTCTCACTCACTGTTTTGATCTCTCTCTTGGGGACAAAGACACACACACATACACTCTCTCTAATGCTGGCGTCTCCCAGGACCCTGCCGAGCCTCACACACCTGGGGTTTTCCATCACTTAGCCTGCTCAACTTTATTACATACATTTACAGCTGGCCATGAATCAGATCCATTACAAACATAAATGCACATGCACATAATACACACAATCCTGCTTAAAGCCAAGTAGACACCCCCCATTATGCCTGTAGACGGGGACACACACACACACACACACATAAAGCACAGTCTGTCTGCAAGCTTGTCTGTAGGGCAGAATGTCCCTGAGCAGAAAGACGGAGGGAGAGAGGGAGGACTGTTGGAAAAAGATGAACCGTGAAAATGAAAGTAGTATTTCTCTTCTCACACACTTGTATTTACTTTTACATTACAGTCTTCATTTCTGTTACAAATCTACAACCTTTTCTTTAGTCCAATACTATTCGTGGTCCTACAATGCAGATACAGTGTAAGCATAATAAATCAGGGAGCCCTGCTTTGCATACGACAGCTGGTGGATATTTATATTCTATTGGTTATGTGTTCTTTTTGAAACTGTAGTGTCTTGACCCTTCCTTGGTCCCGGTCTCTTATACAAACAGCATGTGGTACGTTGTGTGGTGGATGTCACACATTATCCGTTGAGTGAGTGTGTTGAATGACATTATCTAGTAAATCTGTAACTGTGAGCGCTGGCATCAATCAGCGAGACAGCGCCGTCAATTAGCCCGCGTCTGTCTCCGAGACACACAGGTGTGCACGCTCTCGCCATTACCGTGTCCTGCTGGATGTGTGTGTGCGCGATGCGTTGCTCATATAATGAGCCTGAAACGTGAGTCCGATTAACAGCCTTTTTGTGTGACATTCCCTCTGGTGTTACGATTCCATAAAATTTACTTTAATACCGCTAATAAATCTAGAGCCCTGATGATGTCACCGTACTTGGCTTGCAGAGCTTGGCAGCACCCTTTACACCAGGGTTTTGATATTGGCTGGTTGTAAGTGAAATAATTCCATATGCTGCACCTGGGACTAGTTTTGTCAGACGGCTTGTTTGGACGGGGATCTTGTTTAAGACGCACTAGACGAGTGACATATGTTCAGCTGGAAAATTTTGCTGTGCAGAGCAGTAGGAGTCCATAGACTACAGTGAGCACGCTGTCCCGCAGATGTTGATATGGGGAGCAACCCACACATTTAGTTTTGAAACGGTTGGATGACACAGAAAGCATTCATATACCCAAAAATACATGATTTTCTAAAAATCTGATTTGACGCAACATTACATTTGCTGTTGACCGATTGTCCAGTCTGCATTGTGCCACCTTTTATACACGCAGGTGACAGTTTGCGAGTGTACAGGACAGGACATTAGGATTTGGCATCTGTTTATCCCATCTGCTTTGTCTACATCCTCCTCCTCCTCCTCCTTTTCTTTCTTCTGAATGCTCCAATCCATGTGCCATCCACATGTGCCACACACTCCGTGGAGGCAGCATAGAAAAGGAGTTATGCTTTCAGAACATGGAGTGGTGTTTTAACTGTTCTAAGAATACATTTGTTATTTATCTTTTTAATGTTCATTTTCATTTTGTCACAGCAGTGATAACAAAGTGTTGCTATTCCAGTTCTCATCTGCCGCTGTTGCCTGATGTTGAATACAATCAAGTGTAAAATCGTTTGAGACCCTGAGGATGAAGGGCATGAGAGAAAGAGAAAGAACACTGCTTTTGGTTTAATTGAGAACAGATTTGAAGGAGGATATGAAGAGAGAGAGAGAGAGAGAGAGAGAGAGAGTCAGGAAGAGAGGTGGTGAGAGCTGACTCAGGATGCCCGGGGGGGAGGACGGCAGGAAGCAGTGGGTGAGGAGGAGGACAGGAAGCAGACGGAGGGGGAGAGACTCCTCTTCATCGTCCTCCTCCTCCTCTTCTGTCATCGGCGATGTCATTGAGGGAGGAGTGGCGTAGGGAGGGAAGGAGAAGAGGTGGAGCTGACATCATCCACCTCCTGGAGGTCTGTGAGGGCGTTATTACCACATTTAACATAAAAGCTTTTTAACAGTCCAATGTATGCCATCAAAGGGCTTATAATGCATTAAAACAACCGCTGGCAAAGAAAAAAAAAATAAATCTCATTCAAGAAATGCTGAGTCCACGTAAAGAAAACTGCCACTGAATAAAACAACAGAATGGAAGAACAGATAGAGCTCAATATAAAAGGACTGGAAAGATGTGCAGAAAGAGAGCCCCTCTTCTTCTCTGGTTACATAACTTTCCTGCAAAAGAGGGCATTGTGTAAGTGTGTGTATGCAAGCGCAGGCTTGTTTTCATCTGAGTTTCTTTGTAGGCTGTGTGTGTATGTGTGTGTGTGTGTGTGTGTGTGTGTGTGCGCGCCCTACATGCCGCCTGTCCTCTGCTGTGTGCTTGTTGTTTGGCCTGCGCTATCCAAATGTCACAGGCCTCTGTTGGTATGCTGTGTGTTTGTAAGGTGCGTATGTGTGTTGTTGGCACCTCCACCAGTGTGTGTGTGTGTGTGCGCGTAGCTGTGTTTAATAGTGTAGCTATGTTTCTACTTGGCCGTCTATTACTATGAAGTGATTCAGTGTTGACGGGTGCACCTGTGTCTCGCGGCCCCACAGCGGTTAGGAGGCAGTTAGGGGACGTCAGATGGTGCAAGATTAGTGTGAGATTGTGGTCATTCAAGTGGAGGGAATATGGTGTGTGCGGGGGGATGTCTAAGGGGTGCATTGGTATAAAACATCTGTAGAAGGTATAGGCAGGGATGTTGCTTTTTAATGTTCATTTGTAATGCCAGCTCCTCAAGACATATTCTCATTTGTATTCTGACCTATGAGGAAACCGTTTCATTAGATTCATAGTGTAGAAATATTTGGCATGTTTTGTACTCCAAAGAACATTGCAGAGAGAAAAACAAGACGCATACAAACTGCAGCTTAAAGATCTCACACAAAACAAACCTGCTAATCTAGTAGAGTCATCTACAAATACGCACCCACAGAGTGATCTTCTTTGATTTTTAATTTTCCTCCACTGTAAACTAAATTGATGGTGTGTTCGAGGGAGAACATGGAAGAAAATGTCGGTGCAGTTGTTGCTGCTGCTCTGTGTAAGAAACTGAGCACCAGACGTGAACACTATCTGCCGAACAAAAGAGATGTGGCTGAAACGCTTACACAGGCTCTGGTAGATAGTGGATGTGCATTTCCCAAACTAAATCCCTTTCTTGAATAAATCCCCTGCCGACCCCATTCCCCCCCTCAAAGTGGAAACAAAACAAATCTGCTGCTATAGGCTGTCTTATGTTGTGCTCTCTCACCCTTGGACCCCTCCCTTCCCACCATTGCTCCCCTCTTTCTACCCCATCCACCCTCTCGCCCTCCCTCTCCCCAGGGCAAGCCCACAGCTCCCAGCCCTTTGTGCCTTCTACCCCCCTCCCTCCTCCTCCTCCACCTCTGCCTCCCCCTGCCTTTGTGTGTGAGAGGCCAGCAAAGGGAGAGAGGAGAGAGGGAGGCTGCAGAGGAGGAAAGAAGTGAGGGATCCTATAGACAGATGTGAATCTGGAGCTTGAAGCCTTTTATTTTGACCTGCTCTTACTTTGCACATGGAGTGAAGGCTGTGCATTCGCCTTGCTGAAGTGTTGTCATGGCCCTTTTGTTCCCCTTTCACATATTATCTGAACAGAAATATACTAGTGATGTACCATCATGATTTTTGTCACAAGGAGGACAAATAGGGGGCGATATAGAGCATTACAGATACCTGACTGTGTTCGTGGAACTGACTCCCCACTATTTTAAAAAGGCATAGTGAGAAAAAAAGTGGGTTCATTCTGCCGGAGCAACTGCTGTTAATGATCTCCAATCCCTCTGTAGGCTTGCTTCATTTTATTAGTTGGTTTCTTTGCTGACGGAAAAAAAAATACCTGAGATCTAGAAGTCTATCAGGTATCAGCTGTTCCAAGCTGTTCTGAGCGCTGTATCTAAAATGATGTGGCACCAATACAAACATATTCATAACTGAAGAGCACAACTCCTCCCTTTGGCACAGGTCAGACAGGTCAGACAGTTCAGGGCCATTATGTGGCTAAGAGGGCTTTAAAGTTAGTGCATGCATAGTTAACCAGACCAGACTCATTCACCTACTGACCTACCTAGATGCCTCACAGAGCTGCGAGTAGATAAA